GAATAGAGTAAACTTTTAAAAATCTGCAAACAATTATGAACTCTACTTAGTAGGTTTATTTCTGTGGTGGTATGGGAGCAGCAATTCTGAAACTACTTTCTATGTATTACGGGACTAAATATGAGTAAATATACTGTGTAATGTTTGGCGAAAGGTTTCTCAGTGTTAAAGAAGAGGGATACAAATATGGAATGGGAGAGGCTGAGAAAAATTTAATGGTGTTAAATTGGACTTAGAGGTATCAGTGTAAACTCATGATTTATAGCTAAATAGACAAAGAGGTAGATATTAATATGGAAACAGGCATGTACATAAAACTACAGGTATATATGCATATATGTGTATGTATCTGCTGAAAGGGCCTAAAAGCAATAACTGTCAGGTACAATAAGCACACTTAATACTTGGATCTTGGCTTCTAAACACCCTTCTTCAATAAAATGAACCAGGGCTTCTTGAAGAAATGGTTGATTCCAGGGGTAAGGTCAGGGAAGGTATAATAAGGGCCATTTTGTGCCAACAATTAAATTCTTTTTTAAAAGATATGTCAATAGGACACAGGAATGACTTGAAAAAGCTCCTTTTGGCCAAATCTGTGACAAATGAACATCAGAACAAATAAAAGAGGAAACAGATAATAATCCATTGAAGGAACCTGGCAGACATCACAATAACTAAGCGATGAATGTTAACAGCACCAATAACAGAACCACTGACATCATTGCTTCTTGAAATGATGCACTGAGAAGGACTTAGCATCATTTCAGAGGTTTTCCTGACCAAAATTTATAACCTGAGTCCAATAATGAGAAAATACCAAAGCCAAATTAGAGTGAATTCTATAAAATAACTAACTGCCCTGTATTTCTTGGAAACTATAAAAATGTCATGACAAAGAAACACCAAAACTAGATTTTATTTTTTTTTTAATTTTTTTTTATTTTTTTGTCCTTTTTGAGACCAGCCGCACTGTGCTCAGCCAGTGAGCGCTGTGAGCGCACCGCTCATCCCTATATAGGATCCGAACCCGCGGCGGGAGCGCTGTTGTGCTCCCAGCGCCGCACTCTCCCGAGTGCGCCACGGGCTCGGCCCCAAAACTAGATTTTAAAAGATTCCAGATTTTTCTTAAATG